CTCTCCTCCGACGGTCTGCGGTCCATCGAGTCTAAGATCCAGATCTCTGTGGAAATACCTTCGTCTAAAACCGCCGGCCACCCCGCTCGGGCTCCTCACGACCTTTCGTTCTCTCAACCATCGCCCCGCTTCTACGCTCTTCAAGCACGCTCGCCGCTGCACCCGTCGTTCGTCTCGCCCACGTCCCTCGTCATCCCCCTCGCGCGCATTTTCTTTTTCTTTTCCTCCTCCCTTTCTCCCCCGGCTTTTTTCCCTCCCATTGCACTCGCCCTCGTCTCCGCCCTCCTACGCCCTCTCGTAAGGAAGGTCGTAATTGGCCCTTCGGCCACGAGCGACCACGATGGAAAGCAGCCCGAGAGAGCGAACTCCGGATAGCGGGAAAGGATTGGGGGCTATGCGGGGGATAGGGTAATAGCGGTGGCGGTGGCGAGAGATTCTCGGCAGTGTCTACCCTATATCACGGGGGCTACTGGGAAGTACAAGGGACACGGGGCTCTTCCTTCTACCCTCCTGGGAGCGAGCCGGCCATCCCGTCGCTCTGAACTTTACTCGGGGTGAGATATGCAGAAATTAAATATTCATTCGGGTTACCGGCCCTCGGTCTCTATTCCTCTCCTTTTCTTTTCTCTCTCTCTCTCTCTCTCTCTCTCTCTCTCTCTCTCTCTTTCTCTTTCTCTTCTCGTTTATTCCTATCCTATGCGCCTTCCTCCCGTTTGCGTACGTATCGTCCTTTGTATGTATCGTTCTCTCTATCTTGCACTCTTTTCTCCTACCTTCCTAGAAGTAATGCCCTGGCTCGAGGCCAGTTCCGTCGAAGCTCTCGATGTTCGACATTCTCTCGCCTCTTATCCTATGCACCGAAGCAAGATGGCATGCACATTTGTGTGCGGATGTCCCAGAAATCGCCCATGTGTTCCGAATTTGATAGGTGCTAAAAGTAAAATTGAAAAGAATGAGAAAAATATCGGTCAATTTTATGTTACAGACGATTGAATATTGTAGAATTTTATCAACTCGCGGATACAGATAATTGAAACTCCTATTCTCTCACAGTTATCGCCAAACGCGACTTTTATCTTAACGAAATTTGAATCCGCTACTCATTTATCAAAACATTTAATATCGAGACGGATAGAAATTAATGAAACAGAGTGACGTTCAATACATGAATTCCGATAAATCCGACTCAGCCGCGCCAAACAATCTGCGGTTGACGGATTGCGTTCCACTTCCACTCCGGATTCTGTATACACAAGTACGTATCGCCATCCTTTTCTTCCGCTTCCCTCTGCACGTCTCACCTTTCGCTCGTTGTTCCGCTTCCTTTTCTTCGAGTCCGACGATTTCTACGGGCTCGGGACCGTGGCGCGCGTATTGCGCCGGAAACGTACCTGTTGAACTAGCTACCGACTTCGATGAAATAATGACGAGTGGCTTATGCGCCGTCTGCAGCCGCCACCGCCGGCGGCAGCGAGGGCGACGATAGCGCGAGGAGGGAGCAGCGAGGGGACGCAGTCGTATTGCGTTGCGCAATATACCCCTCTCCCTTTCCTCACTCCTTGCCGTAACCGACGAACTGTTCTCCGTTAGCGTGGAATTGCATCGTCCTCTCCACACCCTTCCATTTCGAACACATCCTGCGGGATGAACGCGGCTACGGTTTCGAGGAGACGAAACGCTTCGCTTGGGATAAAAGGATTTGTTTTACTGCCACGACGAGGCGTATGAGGTGGGGAAACGAAGACTGGGGTGAAATTTGAATAGCGTTGTCGTCGTGTCGTCGTACAACGGCGGAACGCTAAGTTGTCGGAATCGCGCGACCGATAATTCGCATCGCCGCGTCGCCGACGACTGCGGTGTTTTACGGCTGGAATTGCTCCCGCAGCTCTCTCAACCACCTTTGGTTTCTGTCGCGTTTCTAGAGAGAATCTCACACTTAAATACGTTTATAAATGCGATGTTTTCGCTGAATACCGAAGCGAGTGAAGATAAATAAAGAGAATAATCTCAATTTGAAAGTAAGCTAGCGAGGGCTAGAATATCATAACACGTAAAGATTCACAATTACCGTCCATGTGATTTAAACAAAAATTGTTATGTAATGATATAATGCATAACAATTGATAATTAGGTTTCTTTTAGGGATAGAAATGGAGAGTATATCTTAATTCTCTTCAATAACTTCTACACAGAATCACGACTTTTTTTATGATTCTTTGTTAATTTCGTTTTGTACGTGACATATCCTTTCCAGGACAGGCAAGAAAATTACGAGCGCAGATTTCAGAAACTACAGGTCCGTTTTCCTGTCCAGAGAATGGAAATGTCTACTCCATTTATCCCACGCGACAAGATTTCTAATTACGCGAGTCTAATTCAGTCGCGACTATTCCTCCTGTAAGAACTGATAACTTCTTGTTCTTCTTCTTTTTCAAATACCGTAATTAACATTCTACGATGATGGAATTTTATCGAGAGCGACAGTATGCGACAATTTGCGAGCCCAGATTAATCAGAATAATTTTAAAGAATTTAATTTATTGTTGAGATTTTAGCGTTGTTTTATTGAACATATGATATTAAAAAAATATCTAAAATAAAAATTCTAAAAAAAGTTATAAGTTAGAAATAAAATTTTAAAAGTCTAATAACATATAATCTTTTTTATAAACGTGAAGCTGCACTAAGAAATCGCTAAAATTTTTAACATAAATTTTCGCGTCCTTATTGGCAAGAATAATTTCTTAAATTTATGAAATATTTTATAAGTGATAAATTTATACAGAGAAAGAGATCTGCATAAAAAAATTGAATAATTTTTACGATGATAAGAGGTTACAGTTTCATATAACCCATTCACAATTTTTCCATATAAAGTCCTCAGTTATTTCGCTCTTACTGAAATAAATGTTTTTCAACGTACAGATTATTCGATGCCGCGCTCTAGCGCTGCGGATGCTTCACATATGAGAGAATAAAATTCCTTCGGGATGTTCCGGCTTCTCGCGGTTGGCGGCAATATCTCCGCCAACCAAGGCGGTTCCCGTTCTCGGTTCTTGGTGATCTCACGTACGTGTTTCACATCAACGTTTCAGTGCCGATCTGGGAATGTAACGATTCTTAGGAACGCGCGCTGCTTCCGCGTTTGTGATTCATCGTGGTCGGATTTGTCATTTCAATTGTTATTTTGTAGATACGGAAAAGAAGTTATGCACAATATTAGTAGTAAAATACCCAATTCTATATTATTTCATTGAATAATTTTATTATATCTTTCTTATTCTCTTTTAACAAAGGCATATTACAAAATTATCTATTTTTATACTTTAGAATTTTATATCATAACATTTGGCAAGCCTAGATTTTTAAAATTTACATTTTCTTTACTGCGATGCATTGAAATCTTGTATTTTAGAATTCTAAACCATTTCTTTGTTTAAAATGTAAGACTTTAAAAGAATTAAATATGAACAAAGGTAAATATTTAATTTAAACAATTGTATTTTTTTTTATATTATATTTGACATGTTTAAGGCTAAATTGTGCGCGTGTAGCGCACACAAATGTTATGTTCTAGTTTAATTAAAAAAAAATTGTATTCTGATTTTATCTTGCATGGAAATATTTTCGATCCTAATTCTCTTTTTTAATCACATATCAATTCTTTGACATTGAAAATAAAACAGTTATTATGAGTAACGGCTCTCGGTTAAATTTTAGTTTCCAAGAAATTTGAATTTTGACGGAAAATAAATTTTCAATTTGTCGAGAAATTTATAGATAATCAATACAAAATATAGGATGCTTATCTCGTAACAAAAAGCTACACAATACCGGGGAAACATTAATCTTCTAAAATGCATAAAATTGCCCGAAATCATCAGCGTTATGCATACATTCAGCCCGATAGCGAAACGTTTAATAATCTGACAAGCTGATTTCGTGTTTCAGCTAGGGTTGTAACGGCCCAGTCGGTGATCATGCCGCGCGTTTCACAGCGTGGTTTGAATTTCGACTTGAATGCGAGCCAATATGGGGTACATAACTCCGCGCCGACCATTAGTTTCGCCTTTACGAGGCAAATGAACCATACCCGCGCCCGTAAGATCGTAGAGTTTACATTTTTAACGACGGAACACGTTCGCTCCCGGTGTGCGTCGAGAATTTGTTCCGCGGCGGGCGAAACAGCGAGCGAGAGAAACCGCAACGATCGATTATCCGTGTTTAGACGGGCGCTTCGTTTCACAAGAGAGATCGATTCAATGTAAAATCCTGATTTGTAACATGGCGTCTTGGGGATTCATCCATCATGATTCAATCATTTAAAGTGCATTTCTTAATATTTAGTCAAACTAGATGTATCATCGTCTCAACAAAATATTTATTTATTATATATATTTACAAAGAAAGTAATGTAATTTAATCTACAAAATACACATATGGTAAGCGAGGATTACTGCGAAGAACCATTTTTATTTAAAGAAAATACAAATATGTACAAGCCTGGTGATTTATTTTATGATGGGTTAGTAATATTAATCATTTCATTTGCTGATAAAGAGCAGTGCTACAATTGTACTGCGTTACAATCGCTCTTCTGCGCTTCTCTATGATATCGATATATCGAAATCCCGATGAGACTCTAGCATTGTCGACTACGACAACGCGGTTAGAGATATTTCCTGCGACGAGGGACGAACTTTAACTAGTTAAAGCTACTTTCAGTAAGGGTCGCATTGCCTCTTTATGGGATTACAACCCTTATGGAAAATTCCGAAGGAATTGGTTGGTAACGAACGGAAACTCGTTAAATTAATTTGCTGCAAGAACGATACTGTCGCCTATGTAATTACAAAATTATGTAACTCTTACGGGAAAATTATTTACAGGAAATTACGTACATTTCGCCATTTAACTAATACTGTGTAATTAATTGTATGATCTTGTATGTATTGTACAACGATTAAACCGCTAATTATTGTGTTTTAATTTAATTTCAGAGCAATCGACGGAGAAGCGGACCGCAGCAAACTCGCGAGGTAAGTTTTTATACTTTCTTTAATTTTTACTTACAATTAGAATCGATTTTTTTTTCCATTATATTAAGAGCGACTTTTATTGAAACTGAAAAATAGTTGAAACTTTTTTAATATTTAGCATATTTTTATTAAAAATTAAAAAATAAAATAAATACGATAGTATCTCTATTATGTTATTTATAAAAATACGAATATATAAAATGTACATAAAATACGGGACAGCGACTTTTATTGAAACTGAAAAATAGTTGAAACTTTTTTAATATTTAGCATATTTTATTAAAATTAAAAAATAAATAAATACGATAGTATCTCTGTTATGTTATTTATAAAAATACGGATATATAAAATGTACATAAAATACGGGACGCAAACTTGGAGCATGTTTCATACTAGTCGCAAAATCGATGTCTCGCTAAATTGATGTAACACTGTTTGCCGTTGCTCCGCTGTATCGCGATTGTATGTGTATGGCAAACGTCGGCGGAGACGGTCGCTAAAGTTCAAAGTAATTTCGGGACACGCGGCAAAACGTTTAGCACAGATTCCTTAGCGTCCATTGACGATCCCGGAAACACGTCCGCAGCATTGTTTGAGTTTCGATTTGAACGCGGTCCAATATGTACCGCGTGGTACATAGTCGTCTATATTAGCTTCTCATTTGCTTAGTACACGCGATGTTACCGGTGATGCCGCGAGAGAGAGGGGCCAATTAAATTAACTAATAATATGCGCCGTAATCACCTTACATCGCGTGCCGCGTTCGATCAATTATCAATTGCGTAACAGAGAGCGGTTCTGGCAAATTAATGAGGATTATTAAACGTCGAAAATTGTCGTATAAAAGAGCGATTAGTCTTAATGACTGTCGTCAGGAAAATTGTTATAATTAATTTGAGACATTAGGCGCAGCGTAACTATTCTGTGACTGGAAATAAGATTGTTGTAAAAAAAAAAAAAAATATCTAAAATTTTCCAATATTAAATAAACTTTTTTTTGAGAAATATAACCATCTTTTTCCCATTATAATGTTACTTCTCAAAGTTATTTACAAGTTGATCTACTGAGATTGTTTTACTTTTTTTTTATTCGTCGGACTATCCATTACAATATAAAAGCAACGTTCTTATTTTAAGTTGCAATTTAGGAATTAAAATTATCATTCCGATTTTATCGCGTAGGATTGTCCGATAAGGTTTACACATTACAGAGTTAACAGTGAGTTGTCCACCAAGATTTTCCGGATACGCATGTTTCGCTGTCGTTTGAGTTTCGACTTGAACCGGAGCCAATTCGCGAGCCGCTGTTTTGCTCTCGAAAGCGCGGCGAATCGCGTCGTAAGGACGATCGTTACAACGATTCATGATAAAATCCTTATTCCATGGCTCGCCGCCGCCGCGGTCGCCGCCGCCGCTGCTGCCGCTGCTGCCGCTGCTATCGAGGGAGAGGAGCAAAACCGCTTTCTTAAATATTATTCGCCCCCGAGCGTTCTATTATTCCACGCGAGACGGGAGCAGCCAGGAATTCGATCTCGCCAGACCAGAGAATTTCCACCGGATACAACGCGGTTTCGTGTCTCGTTCTTCCTTTTTCGTCCTTTATTCATTCTTTCTTTTTTTTTTCCACGGGACGAATTCGTCCCTATCGACGCGGATCGAATCGGCAGAATTATGTTGTTGCGCCGACGAAACGAGGTATTTCGTTCCTCGCCTTCGACGGGCGCTCTAGTGTTTTATGTAAAGACCGAACAATTTTATTCCACGTCCTCGAGTACACTTCCTCCTCTCTTCTATCCACCTGTCTTTTTTTCTCTCTACGTGTCTCTTTCTCTTTCTCCCGCTGTCTCTCTCACTCTTCTCGGGATCTCTCTTTCCGTCGGTGCCATAAATTTCACCCGCGCTACCACCCCCTTGTGCTGCGCACTGTTACTCGCCCATATATTCCGATATCCTAGAACTCAACCTTGTTCCCGCAACCCATTTCGGAGCACTCCCGCGGTTACTTTGGCTCGCCCACTTTATACGTATATCGCGAATTCCGATATCGCGACCGCAATGCTCTATAGGTACATTCGGCAACTATATCTTTGTGCGTCACGTAAAACAGATGGGGCTTTCAGTTTCATCATCGTTTTGGACGCTCACGAGAGCGTATCTTATTCGTTTAATCATATATATCGGGATCTCGTCTGGAACATAACGAACTGACGATCAGTGAATTATTTAGTCATAAAAATTATGAAAAAGAGAAAGATGAGATGTTTTCAACAAATTTTAATACATCAAAGCAGTCAACGTTCACATATTAAAATATATTATTTAATGTTATATGTTTAATGCATGAAAACATTAGCAATATTTTATTAATAAGCATATTGTAATATTAATTATTTTTCAATATTTATTTTAATTGTTTATAATTTAACAATTATCAATGATTATATAATAAAGTTATAAATATAGAAATAAGAATTGTGCCTCTCTAATTCATTAATGCACTAGTTTCATTGATTGGAATTTGTTGAAAGCGCTTTATGATATTGGTCAAGCTTGCATTTTTTAAAAGGTTTCTATATATTGCTGCAATGTGAAAGCACAAGTGCTGCACTCAGTGTGCAAACGCGTCTGTTAATGCTATTTTTTGGCGAGAGTTGAGGAAAACGTATGATGTATGAAATATAGACATCATACTAACAATAATTTATTATAAAACAGCCGAGTCCGAACAAAACCTACGTCCGTCTACTAGTCGGACTTTTTAATACATTCTTTTTCTAAAAGCTTACATTTCCCTTGTTTCGTTTTTGCATGCACTTCGTGGAACGTCAACAACGACGTGTCGTCCTTCGCTTTTAATTTACCCGACGAAGTCGATTCTCTCCCGTACGTCTCTTTTCGAACGATTTTCATTCTATTTGCTTGGCTGCCGTTTAACGGCCGTGCACTGCTAAACCACTGCAATACGATGGATGCGCCAAGGAACCGTATTTTCCTCGTCTTTGATTTTTCCGAGAGACTCCATTTTATTTGTACAGTTGCCATCGTATTCCGTACGAATCCTTTTTCCACCTCGCCGGACATTCCGATATCCCAGTGCTAACCTTGTTCCCCAAACCCCTTTCGAAGCTTTCTCTCCTAATTTCTCGGCCGCTCATCTTTCTTCCTTTCTTTTATTTAGCACAAAATACCGCGGTCAATTCGTCAGAGTCCCATGTGTCTCCAAGCTATAAATGTGAAATCTCATTGTTTGTCTTGTGTGAACTTTAAATAAGTGTAGCTTACATAATATTTTTGTTGCTTAATTTTTTTAATTCTACACTTTATTTTCTATCTTCATATTTAATTTAAAATTCAGGTCCGAGTATAAAATCTATTAATTGATAATATGCCTGTACGTTCTCAATGATTTATGTTAATCTTTTCGTATTGTATACTTTTTAAATATACATATATGTAGATTTTTTGAATAACTTGAAAGGTTGAGCTTTTGGGTGCGAAACTCGTTTCTTTCTAATTTATTTTTGTCCGGTATTCGATATGGCTACTCTCGGCTTTCTCGCCATCGTATCCGCCTTTTCAGCGAAGAGAATCCATTCGACCCGACGATTTCCGGAATCCGTAATCCACTCGATTCTCGCTCGTCGGCGTGAAATTTTAATACTAAATCGATTCCGCCGCCGCGGCTTCATCGCCCGCTATGCGCGCGGTATCGATTTCAACCGTTGTGACAATTACGATTGACGTTTCGATACGCGATCGAAGAGCGGCCCGATCGGATTCCGCGTCCCCGGCGTCGCTATTGCTTTCAACAACTATGGCGCTACGCTTGGTACAACTCGCTCTTCGTACAAGTTACCGTGCGACTTGGAGTTTTATCATAGCGACGGGAGGATACACTTTCTTGCCAGTAGCGTAACCAACGATCCCGCAAATCTCAGGAGGGCTCTCGCGTCTAAAGCAGGATAAGAGAAAAAAGTAAAAGAGGAAAAGGTCGAGAGGGGGAGAAAAATAAATCTGTTTATTATTCTGGGATAAGCCCCATCAGAATAAAAATAATACAAGAACGAAGAATGTAAACGATACAAAGCACTGAACGGTAAACACTGAAATGATAAAAAGCGGGAAAAAGTAAGGAGAGGCGGAAGATAAATATGGAAACCGATACACCGGTGCGAAAATATTTATTTTATGTAAGAATCATACAAGACTACAACAGGAATATCCGTAACACGGCGTGTAGCGTACGCTTAAAACAATGATGAAGTGGAGTCGTACGTATTCCAAGGCTGCTTAAAAAACAACGTTAATAATTTATCATTGAGAAAACCTGGGGAAGAAGGAAGAAGGAAAAAGCAGGTCAAACTGCGATGAGGTCGGAGAAGCAAAGGGTAAAATAATCGAAACCGTGAAGGGCCCTTTAGCTTCTTCTGCGGCGGAAGGTACGCTCTAAGCGTGTGAGTTACATCACTGTCGCTCGCATCCGTGCGCACTCAAATATTCGGGCCGCATCATAAATTTCGTCGCGTGCACCCTATGTGCCGTTCGCTATTTTGCCATGAATTCCGATATCCTAGAACTTAACCTTGTTCCCGCAACCTATTTCACAGTTCTCTCGTTTATTCCGGCTTTCCCCCGATACTGGCGCATTCGCGCACACGTTGCACTTCACCGAGAGAAATATATCCGGGCTGACGTTCGCGTCGACGCTCTCTGCGCTCTCTCTCTCTCTCTCTCTCTCTCTCTCTCTCTCTCTCTCTCTCTCTCTCTCTCTCTTTCTCCCTTCCTCTCTCACCGTTCTCGTTGTAATCCGATAACGTACGTCTGTTCGGAAGAATTCGGCGCGAAAATCCGGAATTCGTCTCCGGCGAGCCCGCGGGAAAATGCCACACCCACCCATTAGTACACATTCACTGTCAAGTAGTTCGCATTCAAGCTGTATTATAATTTTGATCACAGTTTTATGTGATATTAATTTTGTAAAATAAAATGAAATAAGAGTA